AGTTCTGATGAATTAATTCATAATTTAAAGAATGAGGATTGCAATGGAAATCCCCAGATAGGCATAGTCGTAGGATCTACTCTTATGGTGAGGGCACCCTTTCTTTATCCCAGTTTAGTGCTTTGCCTCTTGAGCTATTTTGAAAACCCTAGCTTTGAGAGAAGATGAGAAGAAATGATATCACAGTGTTATTAATTATAGAGATTTTCATAAATCATTGTGTGATTAGTTCCATGCATCTTAGACAACTCTGATGTCACAATGGGAAATGTGCTCTATCTTTTAGATGATACATTTCTTCAACGTTCTTTGGGATTTCTGATCCCTATTTTGATAAGCTTGATAATTGTTAAATCTCCCTAGTTTGTGAATTCTTTCGACCAATTTATTTTTATGGAGTGTTTCAACTTTACAAAGTCCTGGATTGCTTTACTGATGTTCAAGAGTCTCTGTAGTAATATCTGTGTGAAATAAACTTTGTTGCACTTAAAGTTAGTGTTTAATAAGAGCTGTGATTGCAAATGAATTATGTTTATTACAAAGACCATCTCTGAGTTGGGTGGAAAAGTTTATTCTTCTCTAAGAATGTGTGTGATTATTTTTAGGATTAAAACTATTTTGAATAGAACTTAGGAAGTAGTCTAAGAGTCCTTGAAGATTTTTATGATTCATTGTAAGGCTTTCTGTCCACCCTCCCATTTTCTTTATTTTAAATTCTTTAGGGTGGAAATATCTAATGATATATATATACATACATTTTTAAATGAGACTCATGCAAAAATTATAGATACATTTTATTTTAAATTTTCCTTGTGGTTCTTATTTTGAGAATGAATAACTTCTACCTGATTTAAAGAATTAGGCTTTTATAAATAGTCTGCTGTAAACAACTAAATTCACTGGGCACCCATTATTCCATACCTGATATATTGTTTATCACAAAGCAGTCTTGTAAATATGTTTACATGTTGCAAATTAGGCTAAAGTACTAAGCTATCAGATTTGCAATGCTAAGGGAACAATAATTTATTTAAAAAGTGTGATGTGTAGTGTTAAGGGATGTTAATAATTTCTAAAACAATTTATCTAATGGGTGAAGGCTTGGTGGAGGCATTTAGCATAGAGGTGAAATATATCTCTTATATGGCAACATTATGCACATATCAACTTTCTTTTGTCATTTTTTAATTGTTTATTTGTATAACTGAAGATTGCTACTTTTATTACTGATGGTTATGATAGCAGAATGATTTTGGTTGAGCCTACCTAAGCAAATTTAGAATGTGCTTCTGTTTCCTGAAACTAATTGTGAAGGATTCCATTCCCCAAGCCTCCCTCCCCAGCTCTTTGCTGTGAAGACCTTTGATTTGCATATGTAAATAAGCCATTTAATTCAGAGCCCTTTGGGGCCCACCCAGGTCCAATCTGTTATTTTGCTGATGTTGATGTCATTAGGCAGGAGGTAAATGGTACCAGGAGATTGATGTCTCAGTCTAGAATGACAGATAACAGAATTCTAAAGGCTGTAATTTTGAAAGAGAAACAGATTCTTAGGATTTAGAATTTGGGAAAAGAAAAAGAAGGCACAAATTTTACTTTTGATGCTGGGTTGAGTGATAGAATTTAATGTTTTTGTGAATATAGAAAGCTATTCAAGCAAATAGTTTGTTTGCTGTTGCTATAAGGAGTTAGCTGAGACCAGGTAATTTATAGAGAATACATAATTTTTAGCCTATTGGTTGAAAAGCTGGGAAGTCCGAGAACAGGGCACTGTCCTGTGCTCAGCATTTGCTGAGGTCCTTCATGCTGTCTCATAGCCTGGTTCACCCATCCCATAGAGAGGCAGAGCAAGTATGCCAGCTCATATCTCTCTTCCTCTTACATAAAGTCACTAATGCTGTCACGGGCCCTACCCTGATAACACAAAGGCTCCAGCTAATATCATGATAGAGGTAAAGTTTCCAACATTGAAACATTTGGCCTTCAAGCCTTGGTGTATAAGAGAGCTTGATTTCCTGAGGAAACTGTTTGTGAAAACTCCATTTGTTTACTTAAAAGATGTGTGATGTGCAGGCTGAGGATGTAGCTTAGTGGTAAAACGCCTGCCTTGCGTACTTGCAACCCTCAGCTCCATTCCAAACATTATACATATACAAAACCCCCTTATATAATTGAAGCGATATTGTTATACTTAATTGAAAGTGTGAGGTGTATTGTTTATATCCTCCGACATTTGGTAAGTAGCAAGACTGGGAAAAATAAAGGAAAAACCTTTTCAGTTTGGGTCTCCCTGACAATGAAGAAATAGGCATGTCCTGCTTCTTAGTGAATAAAGTCCTCTTCGAGAGTTTCTAAGATTTTATGTACAACTTCCACAAGATCGTGGTATCCCCAAACTAACTAATATAAGAGGGCTTATCAACAACCCCCCCACAATAGACTACAAATGTGACTGTTTTATAGAAAATTAATGTTTACGCTGTGAATCGTTGTGGAGGAAAACTTGCTGTGAGTAGTTCACAATCCTTTTATTTTCACTCTATATGCAATTCATTAAAATGACATTAATCCTGCAGGCTCTTCCTTGGTTTCTATTAAGATGTATGACTGGAATCTCTGTGTAACTACATTGATTATTTCATATACCTATTTGTTCATCGCAAGCCCGTCTGTTGTAACAGATTCATTGTCTTGATGATGAATGAGGTGAAATGGAAACCAGGTTCGAAAACCCTCACCTCCTTAAGGATGTGTGTGCTCTTTCTAAAGGAGCTCTCTATCAAGCACCAAGCAGGAGCTTAAGGATTCAGATCTCAGGTTTAATATCTATGCCTGCCTCCTGCTGAGTTCATGGTACAATTAGCTAATTAAAAAAAGATAACATTTTCACCTTGGAGTCAGAAGAAGAGCAATAAACCACAGGCCTAGGATTTAGTTAATTTGCACATTGACTGTAATTGTGTATTTAAGGCTGAGATTAATTTTTCCCCCCTCTGATGTGGGAGAGCCAGGCACTCTGGATTGGAATCTTAAATCAGTTGTAATCATTCCACAGGGAGGTTAATCAGGGCGGGAGTTCTCCACATATATCAATGTAGATAACTATTTATAAGAGAAACTATGTCTAGGGAGAAGAGAGAAAACATTAAAACTCTATTCTGATAAACAAAAAAGTTTAAAGGATAATTTTGTTTGGTTTGTTTTGATTTTTTTTCTTTTTTGAGACAGGGTCTCCCTGTAGCCCCGGCTGGCCTGGAACTCACTATGTAGACCAGAAGGGCCTCAGTCTCACAGTGCTCCACCTGCCTCTGCCTCGCAAGTGCTGGGTGGGACTAAAGGTGTACATCACTACACCTGACTAAGTTTAAAGGACAATTTAAAAACTTCAAACTAAAGAATGTATGGTTTATTTTCAAAAGCTATAGGCTCTGTTGAGAAGAAAAGCCATACTTAGCTTCTTGTTTTCTAAATATCTAGTGTGCTTATGAATATCAATTCTGTTACTAAAGCTTGGCATGTTTTCTAGACCAGCTGAATTTCATTACTGTTTCCCTCAATTTTTTCAGAAAACGATAGAGGAAGGACACATATTGGCAGGACAGGCTCTAAAAACCAAAACCTAATCCTGACTTGTAATCTATTTCTTAGAATGCTTCCTTTTTGAAAGGTGAGTGTTATGCTGTGAACAGGATAACAGAGATTGTTGGCAATTCAAGTGGGTATGGTTGATACAGGTCTTAAGGTTACTAGAACTATTGTTGCTAGAAGGAAGAAAAGAATTTGTAAGCGCTACATTACACATAGCATTTTTACCTAAGAAGGTCTTTAACGTCCCTTTTCAATACAGCTGAGTATATGCTGTCCTTCAACTCAGGGTCATTTTGCTGCCTTATGTTTTCTATCCCATGAATTGGGCTTTGAGCTTCAAAGCCCAGGTTTGTTTTTTGTTTTTGTTTTTTCTTTTGCTTGTTTTTGATTTACAATGCTGGGGATTGAAATGAGGGCTTCAGCTCTACCACCGTGCCACTTCCCCAGTCCAGAGGTTTTGAGAGACCATCTCTCTGTTAATGTTCATCTTCCCTCTTTGGAGTCAATGCCCATAGGGGAGGTAGCACTCTGTTATTAAATTTTTATTCACTATTGGACAGCTTTGAAAGGTGGGACTGGAGCTCTACAATATGTGGGAGCCCCTATCAAATTGCCCCTTTCAAATATATGTTTGTTTGGCATAGAATGAATGATGGGACATATTAAGCCTTTCCATGTCATCCAGTTGTGTGTGCACTCTGGATAGATAGGTGAGTAGTAGGTAGGTAGTTGGATAGATAAATATACATAGATATAAATACATAGATATGCATTAACAGTTGATTTAAGGAGAGACCACTCTTTGATGTAGGTTTATATTATAATTTAATGTAATTCTCTACTTAAGGCAATATATATACAGGCAGTTATTGATGGTTATCAGAAAAGATGAAGTCTACTAAGATGATGGAGAGAGATGCTTCTAAGACAGAGGATTTCTGTGGTTTCAGGGAAGAGTGTGATTCCCAGGTCATTTAGGTAGTAGCCAACCAGGTGGTAGGTCTAACAGTAAGCAAGCTGTGGAATGCTTTCTGTTACTTTAGGAAGGTAGACTTCAGGTTCAGGTTCAGGAAAATCATGTTCCAGTTTTCCTTACTATCCCTGAGATATTAGAGAAAATGATCAGCTAGTAGAAGAATATAGATTTTCTGGGAAATGTCTGCATCCTGGGCTGGACTTGTGACTCTTCTTACACAAATGCACATATAGGCTGTTTTTGATAAAATTACTTGCATGGAGCATGTGGTTTTGGGGGGCATACATGTTGTGTTTTTATTGGATTTTTAGTTTAAACAATATACAGCGCTGTTAAACACTGTCCCTCTCCCTTTTCTGACCATTTTCCCATCATCCCACACCCACTTTCTCCCTTCCCACCACTCGTTCATTTCCCATCTTCCATTCACTGTCAGGAAGGGCAGCCTCCGAAGAGCCATTTCAACTCAGCTCGGCATCGCCAGAGACTAGTGGACCCAACTGCTTCAAAAGTGAGTGTGTCCCATTGCCCTGGGCGGCTATTGTGCATGGTGATATGGCCCCTCTGTGATCAGAGCAGTTGTGAAGTGTTATATGGACAGGAGGCAAAGTGTTCTCTATTCAAGACCATATGCACTAATGTTGTTCCCATAAACAGGTAACAACCAGCCCTGAAAACAAAAAAAAGCATGTGCTACTTTTATTCCCACCAGGGCCAATGTCATTGAACTTAGAGCTGTGAAGAGATGCTCAGCAGAGCAGAATACCATGTAGTCAGTCATGTTACATTATGTAATTTTTATAATATCAGATATAATTGACCAGAGCCGAGAGAATTAATTAGGAAATGAATTAGTTTCAAGTAAATATTGCTCTTGTTTTCGATATGTTGTATCACTTTTATCTTCCTTTTGATGAAAATACCTGGTTTATGCAATTTACGGTAAGAAAGATTTATGTTGATGTATGATTTGAGGATGGGTTTCTTTTCCTGCTGCTATGATAAAATAAAATTTTGACAAAAGCAACTTAAAGAAGAAAGTGTTTATTTTAGCTCACAGTTCAAGGTACCATCCATCATGACAGGGAAGTAACAGCAACTTGAAGTAGCTCATTCTGTTGTTCTCAGTCAGAGGAGGAGAGCAGTGCACACATGCATGCTAGTGCTTGGCTCCCTTCTTCTCTCTTATCCAATCCAGGATTGGCACCTGTGGAATGGTGCCACCCAGAGCACCCAGATATGTCCAGAGGTCCATCTCCCTGGTGGTTCTAACCTCTGTGCACTTGACAATTAATACTACTCATCATACCCTTCATGGCGGGGAAGACGTGATAGTAGGAACAACTCACTGCTGTGGTAGCAAGAGATGCTAGCATCTGAGCAGATCAGGATGCAGAAAGGGATGACCTTGGGTGCTCAGCTCACTTTGTTTTCCCTTTTGTTCAGTCTAGGACCCCTACCCATGGGATGGTGCTGGACACATTAAGCATGGGTCTCCTTCTTCAGTTAAAACTCTCTGGAAATGCCCTCATAGATATACCCAAAGATGTACTCAGTAATGCCATACGTGTTTATTAACCCAATCAAGGTGACAAACTATCATAAATTACTTGTAAGTTTAGATATTTTAAATTTATAATTTCTGTAACAACTGGCCTATAAAAGGTTGGGGTTTGGCTCACTGGTAGAATGGACCTGGATTTGATGTCCAGCGCTGCAAAACAAACGAAGGAACAAACAAACAAAAACAACTGACTTATAAAAATCTTGGAAATTTACTGAGCCTGGGCAGGTTGGCTTCAGCAGTGTAGTTATAATGTGTATGGTGAGATAGTGATCTTAAGCCCATCTGTTACCAGAAACTGGAATGAAGGGTCTGCAGCTCATCCTGATACCAAACAAAAACTGGAAGACAGGAATTGGTCAGTGGAGGAGGATTTATCTACAGATCTGTCCAGAATTGGGGAGATGAAAACTGTTGATTTAGCTCATCTTTTCTTGTAGAAGTATCATAACTTATAGAAAAATTGAAACAAAAGCCAGGGATTACCACATGGAGATTTCACTGTGAGATAAGTTGTCAGAACTGTGTGAAATCTCTCCCTGGCCCATGAGTTCCTTCTCCTCCAGGACTGCCTGTTCTGTCCTATCTCAGCCTGCCCTGGCTCCTCTCTGTTCTGGCTCTCAGCACGGATCTCCTGGGGTTAGTATAGTTCTAGAGGCATTGTTTCAGAGTCCTTTTATACCTCTTACAGTGTGCTCATGTGGAGTCCTTTGACAGAGAGCAATAGCCGCAGAAAGTAGCTGAGGTTTGAGGTAAGGATCTGCTAAACTTAGCAATTTAAGTAGTCTTAAGAGTGGTTCTGCTGCATGTAGGTTTTTTTATTGAACTCACAACTACTGGCCAGCAGAAGAGAGCATTCCTAACATTGTCCCGTAACTCAATGAACTTCTAGCTCTTCAGCCTTTTAAAGCACTCTAGGCTGATCTTTTTGCAGAGTTTTACTCAAGGTCACTGTGTCAATTTTCTAGAACCAGGACTTTCTGCCTTTATCTTGGGCATCACACCAGTTATCCTCTCTCACATGTTGTTAGACCCAAGGCCACGCTCAGCAGAACCTCAGATATCCCATCTAAGGGAGCAAATGGCAGGCATTTCTGGATTCTTATGCCTTCTAGAATAATTTTGCCAATTCACTTATTTAAATATGACTAATTTCAACAATGAAAGCCTGTTTTTAACATCTGCCATGGACTATCAGGCCATCAGTTTTGACTTCACCAATGAAACCCCTCTTATATGCCAGCTAGCAAATAGTGGTGTTGACTAAGATGTGGGCACTTCCAGCATAATGTTAGCCAACCAGCCTAAGCCAGTATTCAGGTTTGCTTTTGTGTTACTGTGATAAATACCATGACCAAAAGCAACTTGAGGGAGAGGGAGGCAAGGGTTTATTTGGCTTACACTTCCACATTATAGTTCATCATTAAGGGAAGTTAGGGCAGAAACTCGAGGAGGAGCAGAGGTGGGAGCCATGGAGGTAAGCTGCTTACTGGCTTGCTCAGCTACCTTTATTATACAGCCCAGGTCCACCTGTTTAGGAATGGCACCACCCACAGTGGGTTGGGCCCTCCTGTATCAATTGGTAATTAAAAAATTGCCTCACACACATGGCCACAGGCCAATCTGACCTGGAAAATTCTTCACTTGAGGTTCCCTCTTCCCAGATGACTCTAGGCTATGTCAAGTGGATAGCTAAAGCTGACTATGATGGCCAATAAATTCTGATCAGGGCTACTGGCTTTGCATAGGATATCATTTTAATCTGTCAACACTATCGCATTGCCTATGCTAAGGTATTTCAAGGTAGACAGATGCCATAGCCCTTTGCCATGCTGTTAAGGGCCTAAGATGTTCCTTAAGCCCCAGACAACGTAACAGCCTTGCCGTGAATCTGAGCAAGGTCTGGATATATGTGTAAGCAAAAAATAAAGTAGCTTTTAGTAAGCCTAATGGCTTTACCATGTATACCATGTAAGAAGTGTATATGCAGGATTGGAGAGATGTCTCAGCAGTTAAGAGCTTCCTGCTTTTCTGTTGCAATATTGGGGGTCCTTGGAGATGCGGGTGAGGCGATGGCATCGGTTGGACAACATGCAGACACTGGAGACCAGGTTCTGTGATGCAGATCTAAAGTTTATTAGGAAGTACAGCAGGCTTTATAGGGAATAGGCACCAATCACTGGGCTCCAGGAGTGCTAATGTAGCCAATCATTTTAAAGGTTAGGTCAGCCATCACTGAGACCGCACTATGAGGAGTTGGGCAGGCTTTGTAGAGCGAGAACAAAGAAATGGGGAATTCACTGGGTGGGGCAACATGGGGCGAGGGTCAGGCCACCTTGGAGTGTGCTCACAAGGCTTGAGCTGATGATCCTGTGGGTTCATCATGCCTTTACCAAGGCCACCAAGTAAATCCCCAAGCCAGGATTTTCCTCATCTCCCCATTCTTTTTGTATTTGAGCCTGGAAGACCTCAAGTAGTAGGGCCTGAGTATGGCTTACCCTAGAAACCAGGTTATAGAGGCATTTAAACACTATTAAGACAATACAGAAAGCAGCAAGCAGGATAGCCCATGTGCTTAAGTTAGCAGGGGAGAAGAAGGCTTGAAATCTGTTGTATATTTGTTCCCATAAATCTTTTGCAACTATGGGGGGTATGCGGGTGTTATTAAGCTGGATGATGTCCCTAGTCAGCTGTGCTGTAAAATTTAGGAAGTTATTATCCCAGATGGTAAGTAGATGTTGTCTGAGATGTTCCCATGCCTGGGTATGGTTCTTAACACTATGGGTTGTTACATAAATTGTGGGGTAGCGTTGGTCACAATGGAGACTCGTGGTATCCCTGAGCAAACTTACTTCTTCTGCTAATAAGTCAGTTTGTTGTTGAAGATTCATTATTGCACCTCTGAGCATCCTTTTGAGGGCATTTTGGGTTTGGAAGGCTGTGGCTGTTTGCATCGCCAGTGAATTGACTGTTGCTGCCGTGTGGACTGACTGTGTCATACTAACAATAGAAGTGGCAGCAGAAGCTAAGGCTGTGGTAATGGCTGTCACAATGGCTACAACTATCCCAACTCCTCTTTTGAATCAGTGGGTAATTTGGAGGGCTTGTAGCCCTTGCCAATCAGTAGTGTTTAAGGGGATCCAGATTAATGGGGGTTGTCCCACCAACAGTGCATATGTACTCCAACCCTGCCATCAGTTGGTGAGTGACAAAACGAGTGGGAGCAATTAAAGCTACTATTGTTACTGACCACAAAAAAAAAAAAAAAAAAAAAGGCGGTTTGCAAGTGGCAGCTTGGACCCTAAAGGTAGACTTTACCTCTGGGGTGGGGGGAGTGATCCCATTTCCTGATTAGCTGTATGTTCCATTGTATTGGGCCCCTCCATGTAAAAAACATAAACGGGGTAAGAGTAAGGCAGGCTAAGGCCCCACAGCTGTCCCAGTGAGCTAGGACTGGTGGGGATTTCTGGGCCATGATTTTAGATTTTGGGAGGGGTGGCGTACCCAGACCACGTTATTTATGGTCAATGAAAGAGGATATGGAGTGGATATACATTCCTGCCACCAAACAGTCTCCCCAACAGGGGGGAAAGGATAGTGAGAGTGCACAGGGAGGCACTGGTGGCCTCCCAGGTAGGCCCAGGTCCCATTAGGGATGAGTGTGAAGTTAGCTGTGGGCAGCGTGCCATTGAAACCTAGGAAGGTGCCCTTGAAGGTAAAAGTGGCAGGGGATAGGGTGCCCTCCGTACTGGGTGGCGGTGGAAGGCCTATAGCATTTTCAGGGTCTATTCCAAAGTCCATCATACTGGCATTTTTTAGAGTAACACAACTCTTGTCCCCGTCCGGTGAACTGTTACCCCCTACTCTGAATTTTATGGTGCAGTCCAACCATCCAAAGGTCTTGTTCCAAGGTTTGGTAGTGGTTGTACTGGGCCAGGAGGGGATGC